CTTGACAACTTCTTTGAGTTCTCCAGGTACACCTTGGAAAATGCTGAAGAACTCCGACACAGAGAATTTGGAGAAATTGCACTCCAATACTACCTTGACAAACAAAGGGTAAATTAAGACTAAAAACTTAACGTTTAAAAAGTAACATTTTTATGAGCTCCGAGTCACCGAGAAAACTTGGTCAGATGTTAGCAGCTTACTTCCCTGAGGAGGATGGAAGCGTTACATACATCAGGTTCAAAAACAACGAACCTGGAATTGCGTACCAAATTCGCAATTACATAACCATGGAAGAGTACGAAAGGTTTCTACAAGAGAAACCAGCTCTAAACAACTCAGAAAAGAAAGAGTAAAAAGTTTAATTCGTAATTGTTTATTTTTTTACTTGTAAGGGCAAGCTGCAAGTATGAAGTCGACTATCTCCGTCTTTGTTTTGACGAGCTGGACGGCTCTTGCAAGTACGTCTGTTTTGCGGTCTCCAGCTGGTGTCTGACCTTCGTAATTGCGCATGTTCTTGAGAGCTCCAACTGTAAATGGTTGTAGGATGAAGAGTCTCTCAGACTGCTTGAGGTAGTCTTCACGGTCACGAACCGAATCTGTGGTACGAGTCGAATCGGTCGATTTGAGGGAAGAGACTGAAAGCCTGTCGTCTTCCATTGGAGCTGTAGCATACTCTTTGCGTAAGCGGTTCAGACCTTCTTCGAAGTCTTGGTCTCTCTTCGATTGAGATTGGAATTGTGGGGCAGGGGTTTGCATAAACATCCAAGGGTTGGGGAAGTAAGGCATAGGCTGAGGAAGGTAGTTCGGGAAGCCTTGTGGTGGGTAGTAACCTTGAGGTGGAAATTGGTAGTAATTCGGAGGTACTTGCTGGAACTGAGGTTGCTGAGGAGACTGTTGTGGTTCTGCAGCTTTCGGTTCTTCTGGCTTTGGAAGGCATTCAGGAAGAGGAACGTCAGTCATCCGTTTGTGTCCTGTCGGAAGGAAAAATTTTTCCTGTCGGAAGGAAAAACTTTTCCTGTCGGAAGGAAAAACTTTTTCTGAAGTTCGACCAAAAAGTTCTCAATTTTCGAAAATTTGAATGGTTTACGGACGGACAACTGGAAGAGTTCTTCCTGTCGGAAGGAAAAACTTTTCCTGTCGGAAGGAAAAACTTTTCCTGTCGGAAGGAAAAATTTTTCCCTTTGTCGGGAAAATATTTTCCTGTCGGATGGAAGAACTTGGAATGCAAGAAAGACTTGACGAGGCAATTTACCTAATTGAAATTAACGACTGCGTAAAAGACTACTTGCGCAAGGTAATGAAGCCCAAGATCAAGTTCATCACTATTTCTGGAAGGTCTACACTTCAGCTCGAGACTTCGACTGGAATTCCAATTCAAATACCAGACGGGACAGCCTACGATGGCATAAAGGACGCCAAAAGAGAAGCTCTTGTTAAGTTCCTAAACAAACGTCCTTGGATAAAAATACCAAACAAGGAGAACCCCCTACCCCATATGAAATTGGCAATTCAGTCTCTCCTTCACTTCTCTGGTCAGCCGTTCTACATAACCTGTGAAGGCGACATTCAGCCAGTTCAGTAAACATCTCATTTTAACTCACTTTTTTTATGTTTTTACTCACACTCGTACTCACCAGGTATGAGTACAACTATTTCAACTGTGAACCTTGTAGTGACCGGTCTTCCTGCAAATGCAAGTTCGGTCAATACACAGTTTATGGTGGCAAGAATTGAAATTCCAGACCCAACTCCAACAAGAACTCTCAAGTTACCAGAGACTCGTGTGAAGAAGAAGCCTTCTGGTAAGTTTCTTATAGCCATATACATGGCACATTTAGAGTAAAAACATTTTTTTCATTTTTTGAATGAAGCAAGTTAAATTCGTCCCACACCAAACTCAATGGACCGATGAAGAGTTTCAAGCTATGGTTGAAGGTGTTGAGAACGACATAGACGGCGAACTTGAAGGAGCTCAAACCACAATTGCAACCAACATTGCACAAGTCAAAGAAGAGATAGCTCCACTTAAAGCTACCAAAGCTACTCTTGACCTCATGGATACTTACCGTTTAGATGTCAAGAGAGGAATAAGACAATTAAAATTAAAACTCTTAAATTACGAAGCTATACTCCAGAAGTTAGCAGAAATGAGAAGACTTTACCAGAGCTACTTACATGTAAGGGACTTACCTTCAAGCAGTCCGACCAAAGATGAATTTTCTGACATTGTCCCAATTTTGTCCGAAAGTCAGCTCAGATGTTTTGAACTGCTCCCAACATATCCAGAATATGAACGTTTGCCTGAACTCTTCCGCAATCTCAAAAAACTTTTTTTGGTTCTCATGTTCGAAACTTTTATCGGAAGAGACAACAAACGTTCAGAAGAAGAGCAAGATATTATTTTAAACTTGTTGTATGACTTAACTGTCATAACCAGCTTTTTGAAGTAAAACCGTCATTCTCAAACCACTTCATTTTTTCGATGTCCGAACAAGCACCGAAGCCGAACACAATGACAGATGTCCTTTCAAGGTTGCCAGACAAGCGCCCAATTCAAATTCAAATTGCCCAACTGAAAGCTCATCTGACAAACACCATTAAGACTCTCCAAAGTAGTCTTATGACAGAGATGACCAATCTCAAAGCCGATGTCCTCATGAACCAAGCTTCCAATGAGAAATGCCTGAACGATTTCTCAGAATCGTTGCGCAATTACGAGAGAGAGAACCGAGACCTTGCCAGACTCATCTACCGTTTCTTCGAAGAGATAGACGCCATCTGGAAGGTACTCGGAAAGGACAGAACATGCAACACCGTACTTCGTGAGTACCAAATTGAAGAAGGAATTGTCGAGGAAGAAGAGGAAGAAAAGAAACACGAAGAAGAAGAGGAAGAAGAAGAAGTTCCTGAAGCCGCTACATGGGCAACCCTTGTTGCCGATGACGGTTACGAAATTTTCCAACCCTACCCATACCAAATCCGCAACAAGGAGACAGGCAAGGTTCTTACCCCAGTCCTCAACAACTTGGGACACTTGAACCTTAACCTTCGGAATCGCGGTTCAATCTCCATGGGCAAGCTTGTCGCAATTCAATGGGTTCCAAATCCAGACAAGAAGACGAAGGTCAGACACATTGACGGTGACAAGCTCAACAACCGTAAGGAGAACCTCGAGTGGTTCTAAGAGTAAAAAAAAATTATTTTAGGGGGAAACCCCAAGTAAATTTAAGTTTTATTTTTGGTATTCGTACCAATCTTGGAATGTGAAGACCACATCCCAACCTCTGTACGTGAGTCTTGGGTCCACGTCTAAGACCCTTCTGTAGCAATTCCAAGCCCGAGCAAATTCAATTGTCAACCACTCGTCTCCTCTGTTGTCTTCAATCCATTCTTTGAAGAGACGGTCGAGTTCGGGCTTGGAATATCTCTTGCCTGGGTCCGAGACCAACATTTGGTTGAACTGGACGAAGCGCTCAGGGATGTACGCCATTAAAAAAATGTCACTTTTTTTAAAATAGATTTTTTATTTCATGCAATGTTTAACTATTTCACCATCTTCTTTAACACCCCAGTACTTACGCTTGGAGAGGACATGAACTTCGGTGAAAATTTTGTCCAATTTGAATTGACCCATCTTTTCACCGACCATTCCCATTTCAATGAGTTTGTTGTATCCTTCTTCGTTCGTCATGAGTGCGTCAATGTTCTCATAGTATACCACAACTTTCGATTTGACTTCGGAGAAGAATTTGTTGTACTCGTCAAGGACTGCTTTTGCGAACTGAGGGTAAGACCAATGTTCGACAATAGGTTTTAATGTGGTTACTAAGCCACTTTGACCTTGAGTGAATTCGTACTTCAAAACAAAAGGAGAAAACCTTTCAACAAAGTTGTCGACCTTCTCATAATGTTTACTCTTCATCTCTTGAGGTTTCTTAATGGAATATCCCCATGTCGAATTCATAAGCAATTTGAGTGTCATTGCAAGTTTGGGGTTTGAAGCTTTCCTAATATCATACAGTTGTTGTATGACTTTTCCAACTGTATAGTTCCTTCCCGGGAACTCACCATCTTCGTTTGGAATTCCAGTCGGAATATATTGGACAAACCTCATGTATGCAGCGTTAAGGTCGACATAGTATATCTTTTCATCTGAGTCGAACTTGTCGCAACCAATTGGTCCAGTTTGTGGAAATTCAAGTGAGTCTCTTATCTTCTGAGAAACTTCTCCTGTTATCTCATAAACATCGTCGAAGCAACCTGTTTCATATAAAACCTTCTGACCTAACTCAGATGCTCTCCAATACAATTTGACGTCAATTGGATGTCTCAATGGAAGTTTGTTTATAGCATCTTGAAGTTCTTGCAACCTCATTGGAAGTTCTTCTGGTTCAGGTTTGGTATCCGAACATACCAACCCCTTGTGGAACTGTGTACTTCTTTTGTACTAGAACTTTGTCTGGAACAACTTTTGGTCTTGCTAACAATGAAAAGTTTGTTTCGTCTTTTGGTACAAAAGTTTCTGTCAGCTTGTCATCTGGAATTGGTTCCAACAAACCTTTCTCGAAAAGAATGTTTACAGCTCTGACAATGTTGCACTTACTTTTACCAAAGAATGGGTTTGTAAGACTTTCGTTCAACATGAAGTGGTTGTGGACAATTACAATCTTCAACCATGGTAAGTCTTTGTCAACAACATAGTCGTCATGTGAAGAACCTTTAGCTGTAGGTATGTTGACTCGGATATTGACATTTGCCAACGGTGCAATTTTTGCCAATTGACCTCTGAGAATGTACCTTGTCTTCACACATGACTCAAGATACTTCATCTTCTCATCTGTAACAAGACCAGAGTTCCTGAGACATGTAAGAATACAAGGTTCATTGACAATTTTTTCAATTGAATTGTAAATTCCATACCTTGTCAAGTCAATGTCAGACTTATTTATGAACGGGAAGTATCCAGCATGTTGTCTGACTGCTTGAGGGTTAGGTTGGTACTATTCGAACTTGACACTTGCAATTCCTTCAATTGCATTCAAAATGTCTGAGTCGGAGTCAACCATTTGTTCTCTCTTTGTAGTCTTGAAAGCGTCAAGAAGTTTTGCGGCTGTTTCTTCATTGCCATGTGCATAGTAAATGTGACCATCCAAATCTGTTATGGTCAATCTGAGATTGTGTCCTTTCTTATTTCCGTCTTGAATTGCAGCAAGTACTCCCATGAAGCCTTCTTTGTTCTTTCCTTCGTCAAAGTTTACTGTAAAGGTTCGAACAGATGTAATTTGACTTCTAACTTCACGATACTTTTCATATGCATATCTTGTTCTTTCCATGGGAGCATGTGCGTCTTCACCTTTTCCTTTTTTCCTTCTCAAAGGATGCAATTGTTCGTCATGTTTCCAGTAGAATCTGGCAAAGCCGTCGTGTCCTTCAACTTGAGGTTCACTAACATCGAAAGGCATGTCCATAAGACGTTCTTCTTCTAACCTCTCTAGTCTGTTTGGATAATTGGCACGTGCTGTTTCCAAATCCATTTCGTAGCGAAGACCAGACAATTTGTCATAGACTTTTATGGGTCTTCCCTTCCTATATTTAAAATTCTTCGAAACTCTCCAACCATATCTTTGCAACTCTGCTTTTATTCTAGCAGACTTTCTGTCCATTCTATATGGGGCATTTTTATAAAAATAAAAAATTTTTTTTCTTTACTTTACATAACCGCCTGCTGCCATAAGTCTTTGACGCCAACCCATACCAGCTAATGAAGGTTGACTTGGTTTAGTTTGGAAACTAAACTTTGGTTTTGGTTTATCTTCAGTTTTTGGTTTTCTTCTTCTATCGGTTTTTCGTCACTTTTCGGTTCCTCTGACTTTACTTCACTTGCAGGAACAGTTGTGTCGTCAACATCTTCATAAATATCATATGCCATTTGTTTTTGTTTTCCTTTCAACTTTTTGTGTTTGTTGTAAAGTTTAGAATATTTCGACTCTAAGTCAATGAGATGTTCTATAATGAACTTGGTCAGTGAAGTAAACTTTTCCATCTGTTGTCTCGAAAGCTCCTTCAGACTTCAATATTTTATTTGTGAGAGCCTGTTTCTTTTTTGAGATACTAGCCGTTCCATTTCTATGAAAAGTGACTTTATAGTTAGGGTTTGTATTTCCAGACCTGGCACTTTCTATTATTGAATTTCTCTTCATCTGTAAGTTCTTTGACAGGTTTTGACAATGGTTCTGAACTTTTTGTTTGTGGTGTCAAATCTACCGTTTCAACTTCTTCGGTCATTTCATCTCAGTAAAAAATTTTAGTTTGGTTTGTTTTCAACTGGTTGTTGTTGTGGAGGTGGGATGGTTCCTTTAATAATATCATTCAGTTTCACATGCTGAGCCTGACTATATGGTATCGGTTTAAATGCTGGAAGCCGACAAATCCATCTTGAACTCATTTGTCTCAATGCTGCATTGTTCATTTCATCTCAATAAAAAACTTTACATTCCCCACGTTTGAGGCGGTTGAGGTTGGTTATTGTTTACCCACTGTTGTGCATGGTTATATCCTCTGTTAAAGAATCTTTCACCTTGGTCCATATAGTGTCCTGCTTGGTTATAGTAGTCATTTGCTTTGTTATAATAGTTTCCTGCTTGTCTTCCTACATTGTCCATCCATCCTTGAACTTTTCCTCTTGTTTCAGGATTTGGAATAAGATTTGTTGCATCTCGTGCTACATCCCAACCTTTCTGTACAGTTTGTATAATAGGTTGTGCTTTCTCTTTAAGTATACCTAATGTACTCAAAATCTTCCTTCCTATTTTCAAAATAGGTTTTAATAAGAAAAATAGACAATTTATGAAGTAACAAAGCACATAGTATTATAAAAAAGAAAAACATTTTTCTCATATGAAAGAAAATATAACGTATTTTTTACAGAGCGTAGGTATATATCGAGCCAATTCACACCATAAATTCTTTTCTCGTTCTCGGGCCTATAAACAACCTGAGGTGCACAACAATATTAACTTATACTGCTGTTATCTGGATTTGAATCCTCAATTGAGAGAATTCCAGATAACTTCAGTATAAACAAACCATATACATGTTTCCTCCTTGCTTCTAGGCCAAGCATAACAAGTACATTACCTTAGAGCAAATCTCATTCGGAGTTTCTCATTTAATGAGAGACTCCGAATGAGATTTGCCTATTTGATTAATATTGTGCTTTATGAGATGCAAATTCTGATGATAAATATTGATCTAGAGCTTATATAAGATGCGAAGAAACTTCAAAAAAAGCTAACCGGTAAAGACAGCAACTTGCAACACCAAGTTGCTCACGTAGTGATTACAAGCATATCTGCAAGGCAAAGTCCTCAGGATGCAGAACTTTGCCTGCAATCAGAAAAGAGATTGCTCCAAGGTTAACTATAGTTTGATATCGTAAAATTCACTTCAAAATGACGTTAACACATTTAAATTTATACGTTTAAATTCTATAGTTTATTTATAACTTCATTTTTCTTTATTGCTCTACGAGCTATTCTCATTGCATGATGTGTTAGTGTGCCGGCCCTAACATGGAAGCTGTGAGATATTGTGTTCAGAGAATGGAAGCAAATAATCTATTTAGAAGATGAAATAACAACAATGATATGAGTGAAAATGAAATTATTAATGTCGATTGCATCATCCTTAGATTGATAACAATACAAACTGCTGCATTCTCCAGATTCCACGCATTGTCAGATTTTCAGAGATTCTTAGTCAAATCATAAGCCAGTCATACAAAACCTAGAAGTTAGCATCATCCCTAGATTGATAACAATACAAACTGCTGCATTTCTCCAGATTCCACGCATTGTCAGATTTTCAAGAGATTCTTTAGTCAAAATCATAAGCCAGTCATACAAAACCTAGAAGTTAGCATCATCCTTAATTGATAACAATACAAACCCCTTTACTTATATTTTTTTTTAAAAAAACTAAAAACGATATATTCCTCTCATATCGTTTTTGAAAATTGGTACCTAACAAACTCGAACTCATGGCCCAACAAAAAAATGGATGAAGAACCAGATATACCCAATCTGGAATCCATTCCGCAACACATTGCAGAGAAACTCTGCAACTAGGCAAACTTGTTCAAGGCAAAAGTTAAATGCAGTAAATTTGTCAGACACTCAAGTATCTCTCCTAATGACCTCATTGAAGACAGCTTGGATCCAGCTAACAAAGGTCTCATAGAAATTCTCGCCAAGAGTACAAACGTTTGTCCTGCCACCTTATATAATTACCGTAAAAAATACGAACTTGACCCAGAATTTAACCCAAAGACGGCTGCATCTTTGATCAATCGTGCTATCAGTGATCACGGTGAAGAATTGTTAGCCAATTACATCATCAAAGAATTCATCGAAAAAAATTCTTCTTTAACACCCAAATGTGCAGAGTGCTTGTCAAGATGTTCATAAAGGCTTACCCTAACGAGATTCTCAGAAACGATTTTGTTGTTTCTGACCATTACCTTTCGAATTTCCGAGAGAGATGCGACCTGACCACTCGTGAAGCACATTGGCATCGTCGGCCAAAAGACATCGAAGAGATGAAGACTCGTATCGAAAGCTTTAAACAGACCAAAGCTCAACTTATGGAACTCTTCAAGGATGAATTGTGGAGAATCTGCAACGCAGATGAATCCTTTTACGGATGTGGAATCGCTCATGGACTGACATATGCAATAAAAGGCTCGGAAGGTGTTGACGTCCACATGAATCATAACGAGAAGAAAGGAATCACTATTATTGCCACAATCCAGGCAGACGGCAGTAAACTTCCACTCACATTTGTCTGCAAGGGTCTCACAGATGCATGCCATAAGCAGATTTACGACAACAGAGTCTTTTCCAATGAGTTGATTTTGCATTCCGAAACAGGTTGGGCCACAAAGGAGATATTTCAAGAATATCTCAGATGGCTTAGAAAGTATTACAACGATCGTTATCGCGAGAATCCAAGTTACATTCAAAATGATAGAATCTACTTGTTTCTTGATACATATTCTAGCCACAGAAATGCAGAAACAAAGAAGCTTGCTAAAGACTTGAACATCACACTCGTCTTCATTCCAGTTGGATGCACCGATCTGTGCCAACCTCTTGACATGCATGTCTTTGGCGCCTTAAAGAATATGGCAACGAGAACATGGTGGACTTACTATTCTATCGACACTTCCCTCGAGTGCACGCTGAAGTTGGCAGTGTATATTTTAATACGTTGCTGGAATGCGCTGACTCCTGAGCTCATTGAGACTGCATTCAGTATGCACATCAAAGATCTTGAAGAAAATGAAAGCATCCAACCACGTATCTCTGACGAAGAGGCCTCAGACTTCATTGAACGGATTGACGAAGTGAAGGCTCAATTCACAGTAGGCGAGCTTCTTGGCCAAAACGCAGAAGAGGAAGACGCCCCTGATTTTGACCTCCTTCAAGAGTTCAGTGAGATCAATGAACGACGCCATAGGAGACAGGAAAATACCCAGATTGAAGAAATAGTTTCAGATGATGAAGACTGGGATGGAAGTGATGATGAAGAAGATCTTGAAGGATTCACTCCAGAAGAAGAAAGAGAAATCCTTGAATATGATCTAGATCCATCAGAAATTGAAAGCGCAGTAGAACCTGAACCAAATTATAATCCTCCTTCTCCAGCTGAAATGTTTTCGCCTCTTCCAATAGTTGATGTCCATTTTGAACCCACAGATCAATTGATACACTGCCTTGCATCAAGAAGCGGAGCATCTTTTATGGACTCTGTGGAATATGCTCCGCGATTTGATGTTTTGTTAACCAATCAGCTTCATTACTCAGAAATATTTAACGAGATCAGACGTCACAATCATTATGCCACAGAGAGGGTAAATTCACAAATCATCAGGCTCGATGATTCTCGAAGCGCCTTAAATGCCGCCATGCAATTGTTCTTGACTATCATTATCCTTGAAAATATTCGAATCGAAGAAGATAATGGTGCAAGAGCTTTAGAATTGTTTCAGGTTGGAGAAGAAGATTCCAAACAAGAAGATCTTCTCCATATCCTACAAATATTAGAACGTATGGGAAGATCTACTTCGATTTCACCAGGAAAAACATATAATATGCTTCATTTTGAACAACAAGGCGATCCACGACTCATTATTTCATCTTTTATGAACCCACATTTATGCGGGATTCAATTCATTGATGAGAATAATCAAGCTCAATGTGTTAACATGTTAAAACTTCCTGAAGATGGAAATTTCAAAGAATATTTCGAGAATAAGAAGATTACTCATGTGAATAGATACCTCTTCATTGCAAATGACCGCGAATCTCAAGAAGCTCAGCCAGATCAAATTGAACTGCTTCATGAACATTCACATATCATATTTATCAGATTTGCCATTGTTTCACTTACACTCGGAAGAGATGGTCATGCCTCTTTTAAATTTTATAAGAGACTTGATTTACAAGGCGAATATGTTGTGATCGATGAAAATTGGTGTTATGTGATCCCAAGAGGAGGAGCAATCGGATATCAATTTTTATCATTGTATGTCAGAGGTAAGGATGTTGAAATTGAAAATTAATTCATAATTTCTATTTATTTATATATTTTGTTTTTTATTTGTAAGCTGTAAATAATGATTTGTTATAAGAAGATGGTCTTTTTCACCAAGAAAAATTTTGTGTGTAAAAAATTTTTATCGTCTGACAAGTTTCTCTGTGAAATATGAAAATTTAATGTGTGATTACATTAGGAAAATATTTATAGAAATAAATATAAGAAATTAGAGAAAAAAATTTAAAAAGTAAAAAAATGAAGAAAATAACTGGAATACGAAGAATTTAGGGAGGATAGAGTGCATTATTGTTCTAAGCATGTCATTCCGGGAGACATTGCCTGTGCATGTCTCCCAGAATGGCATACTGTTCCGCATTCATAACTTGAATGCGGAACTTTGACCGACAAGAGTGCATTGTGCACTCTTGTTGGTCTGCATGTGTCATTCCGGGAGACATTGCCTGTGCATGTCTCCCAGAATGGCATACTGTTCCGCATTCATAACTTGAATGCGGAACTTTGACCGACAAGAGTGCATTGTGCACTCTTGTTGGTCTGCATGTGTCATTCCGGGAGACATTGCCTGTGCATGTCTCCCAGAATGGCATACTGTTCCGCATTCATAACTTGAATGCGGAACTTTGACCGACAAGAGTGCATTGTGCACTCTTGTTTGTCATCCACTATGATACTTAGAGAAAATACTTTACTTACATTATTTAAAATATTAATTTCCCTATTTAATATTTATTTATTATTTTTTGTGCTTTATATTCCCTATGGCATGTACTGAACTATTTTATAGACTCTACCGAGCTATCTCCACATATAAACATTTGACAATAACACATATATACTCTCTTCATATTCTAGTCTCATGACATATTATTGCAAAAGCTATATTTATACAGCATACCTCATAAAGTCTCATTTTAGCCATATCTAAGCGTTCAAAACCTATTTTCCACACGTAATCTGATTCTTCTGGCTCCGCTGATTCGATTTCTGCTGTCAGATCGTGAAAATATGAATCACATAAAGAGATAAACACAAGTTACCCACTGATATTTTCCGTTTAAATGTACAAAACAATCTTTGAAGTATTTCAATTTTTCCAAAAGTGTGTGAATTCAAAAAGTCACAATATATCTAGTTATTACCCAGTATTAATTTTTTAATTTAGTTTTTGAGATATTCATTTTATAATACGTATTATTCAGAAAATTAAATACATTTGTAAGGGAAAACGGAATTAATAACAAATATATGAATATCGTGGAAGAGTCAATTTGAAGAAAACATTATTATTTTGGATTTGTGTTTATCTCTTTATGTGATTCATATTTTCACGATCTGACAGCAGAAATCGAATCAGCGGAGCCAGAAGAATCAGATTACGTGTGGAAAATAGGTTTTGAACGCTTAGATAGGCTAAATGAGACTTTATGAGGTATGCTGTATAAATATAGCTTTTGCAATAATATGTCATGAGACTAGAATATGAAGAGAGTATATATGTGTTATTGTCAAATGTTTATATGTGGAGATAGCTCGGTAGAGTCTATAAAATAGTTCAGTACATGCCATAGGGAATATAAAGCACAAAAAATAATAAATAAATATTAAATAGGGAAATTAATATTTTAAATAATGTAAGTAAAGTATTTTCTCTAAGTATCATAGTGGATGACAAACAAGAGTGCACAATGCACTCTTGTCGGTCAAAGTTCCGCATTCAAGTTATGAATGCGGAACAGTATGCCATTCTGGGAGACATGCACAGGCAATGTCTCCCGGAATGACACATGCAGACCAACAAGAGTGCACAATGCACTCTTGTCGGTCAAAGTTCCGCATTCAAGTTATGAATGCGGAACAGTATGCCATTCTGGGAGACATGCACAGGCAATGTCTCCCGGAATGACACATGCAGACCAACAAGAGTGCACAATGCACTCTTGTCGGTCAAAGTTCCGCATTCAAGTTATGAATGCGGAACAGTATGCCATTCTGGGAGACATGCACAGGCAATGTCTCCCGGAATGACACATGCAGACCAACAAGAGTGCACAATGCACTCTTGTCGGTCAAAGTTCCGCATTCAAGTTATGAATGCGGAACAGTATGCCATTCTGGGAGACATGCACAGGCAATGTCTCCCGGAATGACACATGCAGACCAACAAGAGTGAACAATCCGCTTTCTCCTTTGAAATCCAACATTCTAATCACATCTACATTAATAAATTGTTATAAAATACTAATCAAAGATCCAATACAATTCTACTATCTTATACACATATTACCAATGTTAACACCTCTTATAACTTAAATTATTTCATAAAATTTGTTTTTATATCTTATTATTTTCTCATAATGCTTCTAATACATCTCTAATTTCTTACATTCAAACACCAATATCGTCATACTATCATAAGCACTTAATTTTTTCAAATTTTAGACTTAAATTTGAGCTACATTTTCATCATCATTTTTAGCCTTAAGCTTCTATAAGGTTATAATACATTATCGTAATATTCTAATATTTATGATTCTTACTACTCAATTCAATATAATCATATAAGTCACTCATAATCAGGAGCATAATTTAAAAATCTATAGCTCATATTTTGACAATTATATATATAGATGATGCATATTGCAATTCCGGTTTCAACACGATCAAATGTCAAACCATGATAAAATATATATCAATTTACAAAATATCGATTAACATTAGAATCCATATCTAATTCCATCAATGCACAAGTTGTAAATGCTTAATTCATCTTTGAGAAACGTGAATAGCACAATTTTATAAGATTATTTGTTGAATATATAAAATATAAGCCAAATCGAATCTGCTGTATATTACTTTAGTTTATAATTGAATGTTAAATGTGCTCAGATAAATATTTGAGTCAGATATCGCATTTTCAAATTTCAAATTTTATCTCATGAAGTTAGAATTCATTTGATCATACAACATCATATTAGTCAAACTAGAGTTCAATCGCGATTCCAAAATGGAACAATTGCTTGTTTTATCAAAATGTTAAAATATTAATCTAAAAAACTTAATATCTAACCAAACCATTCTAGAATTATTATATACAGGTATAGGCAATCTAAATGCACACGGAATTCGGAAAATTAAAAAGAATATTTATGAGATTATTAAATCTTATGCATTTCAATGAAGAGTCGATAATTATCATCTCTATAGGTTATATATCAACATATGAGTTTTTGGATTGACCACTACTATACTAATGTGATCAAATTAATCTGATTTCTTGAATTTTCATTTGAAGCATTCGCAGTAGTAGGAGTACCTTCATATATTAACATATTAAAAAATTGCGCCCAGATTCGCAGTTTAATCATGATTTTAAGATTGCATTAGATTTCGAAATGCAGAAAAAAATCACTTTAGATTCCCTTCAAACTCTAAGCATAAGCATGTCTCTATATGAGAAAACTATTTGAGCTATTCATTTGGCGGCCCAAAAACTCATGTTGCCTGAGCGCAGAAAATACCAATTTTTGGACCCTGGGTAGGGGGTCATGCATGTTTTCTAAATGTTGGAAAAGTAGGGTATATTTACTACAAATTGGAAACATTGCAAGCTCTTTTGAGCTTAACTTGACCCTTCAGAATGTCAATATTGCTATTTTATCATGAATTCATCTTCTGATTACTTTTTTTTATCAGAATTTTTCCATAAACATCATGATAAAATACACTCAAATAGACAACTTGCAAAAGAAATTGATGTCTGGGAAGAATTCTATGAAGATGTGTTCAAAGGTGAGAAGAAAAGATGCCAAAATTGTGAGAAAGAAACCGGATTATCACAATACTACTTAGAAGAATGTCTATTTTTGGATGACAAAGATAAAATAATTAAAATTGAAGCTTCTTCTTCCAAACTTCTCCATAATTCCTGTAGTTTCCACAAATGTTATTCAAAAGGAAATGGAGGTAGTATATCCATCAATAATCAAGAGTGCTCTGTAGTCCTGTTGCATGCTAAGTTCGGTCAACGATAGAAATTGAGTGGAAATTAATCGTCGAGGAAGTACGATTATGTAAAGTAAAAAAATGTTGTGGGATTTTTAATATTATATATTATTTTATAATAAAATTTTTTGAGTCATTTTAAGAAGCACATATAATTTTTTGAATTTAAAAATTAAAGTAGTGTCAAACGAATTTATCACTTAATTTAATACTCAGATTTCTTAAAATTAATGAAAAAAAGGTTTTCTGAGAACTTTTGAGAATGGTTTTCAAATTCCATTATTGAAAATATATAGGTATTGTATGAAATTCAAACTCTATATTTATTAAAATTCTAAATTTTAATAAAATAACTTTTCAGAGGAATATGATTTTGAATGGTTGATTAATAAGTATAAAAATGTCTACGATTTTAAGGAGGGAATTGTTCCTTATGAGGTATACATCATAACTATATACCTCATAAGGAACAATTCCCTCTTGATAGCTGGGAAACTTTCTCTGAATAACTTATCATTTGGAGAAAGTTTCCCAGCTATCTATTAGAAACTAAAGGCTGTGAGGCACTAATATATAATCAATGCCTCATAGCCTTTAGTTTCTTATTAAAAACGAGAAAACTTGTTCGAAATGATAAACAATTTCGAACAAGTTTTCTCGTTTTAAGGAGGGAATTGTTCCTTATGAGGTATACATCATAACTATATACCTCATAAGGAACAATTCCCTTTTGATATCCTGGATATTTTTGAATATATTTTTTGAATTAAAGTTCTCAAAAGTATTATCAAAAGTGATTTTTAAAAAATATCTCCAATTAATTAACTAATTAAAAGTATTATATTTTTAAAATTAAATAGTTTTTCAATTTTTTTGAAGGAATTGAGATACTTCCCACGACAATAAAATTGAGAGGTTTACATTATGACTGATCTTAGCATGCAACAGTCCAAAGAAGATTTTGTGCTATTGATTCTTTTTCAGATTCAATCAATAATAAGTATTGCTTGGGTTTATTTTCGTTTGTAAAAGTTGGAGAAAAATGCCTGAATTATATCTCTGAGAGTACTTTGTTAGGATGCGGAAGGCCAGGAACTCTGACAGTCGGATTAACTCATCAAGAAGATGGCAACATTTCTCTATCAAATACAAATTTTACTTTGTGTAAAGCATGTCTTGTAGCAACAAGTTATGGAATTAGTCGAACATCTCCATTTAAATTTGAGTACTCGACATACTTCAACAACATTACAGATAATGAATCAATAATAATATGTACATGGTCTGATTCTGCACTGGACCATTTGAATATCATAACATAATAATAACATTTGAGTATTATTAATAATAAAGTCCCAAATGATAATGTTCCTTTATTCACTAATGCAGATATAATAATAGTCAATAACTGCTATATTGACAATAGTATTCCTTTAATATGTTATGATACACTAGAAATCTCTAATCCAAAGGAATGCTTTACGAATGATTTAACATATCTATCCCTGAGTAGTTGTGAAGCGGAAAATTATATTATTGATGTTAACACAAGTGTCTCCATGTCGTATGGCATCCCTATTATAATAATATCAATAACAAATGTATATTGATTATTCAAAAAAATAAAAGAAATTTAAATATCAAATCATCATTCACAATTGTACCTGAGCGAGTCTATATCTACTGTATTGTATGTTCATAAATTTTCTTTTTCGATTCTGATTCAAAAAGAAATTTGTAAAATTATTTTGAATTAACCATAAAATATCAATTATTTATTGAGAATAACAATATATTTTTAAAGTTCCAAGTTTTCCTCCGCAAATTTCAATTTTCTTGGTACTTTGACATTTAATTTCGCTTCAGTAACAATTAATCTGAACAACTTCATTGCGTTGCTTTCATTTGGAAGGATCATACCTTTACCACGCTTCTTCAATATCAAAGTTGGCTTATCTTTTGGAACATCTAACGGATATCATTCTTTTCAGCATTAATATAATAGAACATAAATCTAGAGTATTTCTGTTGGTTGAATTCATAGGCAATGGCCTGTAATTCTTGAAGTAAATCTATTGAAGTTTTATCTGTTGCTGAAGGAGCAATGAGAGTTACAGAATCCTTAGGAGATCCATAAACAGCTCGGAAGTTTGATCCAACGAGCTTCTTAAGGTTAGGAAGATCATCTTCATCTTCTTCTGGGATTTCTTCGGACTTTACAGGGATAATTGGGAAGGAATTAATTACTTGGTCAAGAAGCTGGTCCAAGATTGCCGGAGTAATCTCTGTTCCTTCTGGAATAAATAATTTCTCACTTACATCTCCATTTTCTGTAAAGTTTGCTACAACCCAGATAGGTTCTTTGGTTCCTGCTGTGCCCATCTCGTTCAGGAGTTGCGTAAACTGGCGGTATGGTCCGTATGCGTATGTGAAATTATCTTTGAACTTGTCGTAGATCTGTCTCATGCCCCAGTGTACTTGTTTGAGGGAGTGCTTCTTGTTTACGTCGCAGAAACAGAAGACTGTCATTCGAGAATCGTGAATTACGTCACGGAAAAGGGTTCCTTCTGTAAGTCTGTATAATGGATAAGCGTTATCGCGGATGAACTTCTCAAGCTCATCTGTTTTGTCAATTTCGCTGATTGGATATTGAACAATTACATCATCGATTGATCTTCTGATTAAAATTGCATTTGTAAGCGAGGTATCTTGATCCTGCTGAAGGCCAAATTGATATGCTGCCTCTGTAGATGTTGAACGCACGAATGGAATAATATCAATGAATTTTTCAGCCAAATCTTGAAAAACTTCAATTACATCATCTGAAGTATCTTCATCACTTGTCAATATAGCAGCAATCGGGTTGTATTGAAGGAATTTGTATGCGCGATCTTGAGAATCGATTTCAACAACGAGTGGTTTGTTTGTAATTCTTGTTAAGTACTTTCTAAGGTCTGTTGAATTCCTTTCTCCTGTGTATTCCGTCATAAATTGGCCATTGCGGAATACGTAGAAAGAAGGGAAAAATTGAATATTGTAAAGATCAAGCGTATGTGGCGCGTTATTGCCATCAAGATAGAAAAAGTCGCATTTATTGCCAGAATGGAATGTTTCGGCAGCAGCACGAAAGTGTGGCATCAATCTTTCCACTTCTGTATTATTTTCATCAATTGCCATGACTAAAGCAAGTTTAGATTTGTTGATCTTGGTTTCAAAATTCTCGTCATTGAGTGTAGGCGGTAAATAAATCTCACTTCTAACTAAAGAGAATAAAATCGGAAGCATTTGTGTCACTTTTGTATTTGGTTGAATTCGTCACTTTTTGGAATTCTCTTCTTCAAAATAGCTTCGCACCATAAAAATATTACATTGTTATATTCAGTACATTATTTCAATCATTTCTGTCTAGATTTCGTTTTGAAAATGATCAATGACAAGTTTTTCATGCCTGTTAACTAAGGACTGCCCACACGAGTGAATTGTCCGCGACATCTCCATGGCTCTTGGTCTGATGTGATACTGCAAAGAACGCCAGGCAAACATTGATTAACAGCCGAAATTCTGTTTTACATGAAGGTTCCGCTTGGGTTCCTGTCTTTGGATATGTCGGAAGAGGAGATAACAAGGCAGCAAGAAAATCCTTCACATTGCAGTTTGTGATACAAGTGATAATGTCCGCCTAGTTGCATACATTGCAGCTCCATATATAATTTTATTGCATAATGCAATATGTGTTGATGCAAAACTCAAATACAACTTTTTTATACTAAATTGCTCAAATAAGATGAATTATAATAAAAAATCCTTTCCGTAAAGGTATTAAATTAGCAATATTTTTAATCAAAAACGTATGTGCAATCGTATCCAGCATCTAATATGCACGCTTAATTGTTTATCTCTGTATTTCAGACTAATTTTTGTTAGATTTGAGTATGCTTCTATATATATAGATATGGTGATATACATGCGGAATTTCAAGAAAATTTGATTCACAGCTTTTGAGAATTGATTTTTTGGCATATAATATACTTTCTGAATATGACTAAATGATTGTCTGCGTCTTCCATCAGAAGCGAATTCAATTTTAATTTCGAAATATCTCCGTGCTTATTGAAAGAGATATGATAATACATATAGTTGTCTTTCAGCAGATAATCACTTAGAGCTGTTTTAAAGGCCTTAGCTTTTTTTATTTTTTAAATTTAACGTTAAAAAGTGTCTGTACCCATGATATTTGCACCATGTGATTTAAGAGTAAAGAATGTTTCTTTACTATTACGTAATGCCGCATAATGAAGAGCAGTTTTTCCTTCATCATCTTTTTCATTAATATTTGCACTATTTGAAATAAGCAGTTCGGCTGTATCTTTACTATTAGTATTTGCTGCAAGATGAAGAGCGGTTCTTCCTTCTTCATCTTTTTCATTGATACTTGCACCATTTGAAATAAGCAGTTTGGCTGTATCTTTACTATTTTTACTTGCTGCATAATGAAGAGCGGTTCTTCCTTTTCCTTCTTTTTCATTGATATTTGAACCATTTGAAATAAGCAGTTCGGCTGTATCTTTACTATTTTTACCTGCTGCATAATGAAGAGCGGTTCTTCCTTTTCCTTCTTTTTCATTGATACTTGCACCATTTGAAATAAGCAGTTCTGTTGTATCTTTACTATTAATACTTGCTGCAAGATGAAGAGCGGTTCTTCCTTCTTCATCTTTTTCATTGATACTTGCACCATTTGAAATAAGCAGTTCTGTTGTATCTTTATTATTAATACTTGCTGCAAGATGAAGAGCGGTTCTTCCTTTTCCTTCTTTTTCATTGATACTTGCACCATTTGAAATAAGCAGTTCTGTTGTATCTTTATTATTAATACTTGCTGCAAGATGAAGAGCGGTTCTTCCTTCTTCATCTTTTTCATTGATACTTGCACCATTTGAAATAAGCAGTTCTGTTGTATCTTTATTATTAATACTTGCTGCAAGATGAAGAGCGGTTCTTCCTTTTCCTTCTTTTTCATTGATACTTGCACCATTTGAAATAAGCAGTTCTGTTGTATCTTTACTATTAATACTTGCTGCAAGATGAAGAGCAGTTACTTCATGTTTGTCTTTTTCATTGATACTTGCACCATTTGAAATAAGCAGTTCGGTTATTTCTTTACTATTATTAATTGCTGCATAGGGTTGTTAAAAATATCAAAAATTAGCGTTTTGAAGACACCATTGTGTCTTATAATTTTCCCTTCCTTATTGGCGTGTAGAAATAAATGCGCCAATAGATTGAAGAAGAAGAATTGTTTTTCTCTTAATGAACTTTAAACCTTTTGATATTGTAATAAACAGAAATTCATCAAAAGTGACAGCTCTCAATTTTTTGACATTTGTAAATTCTAAATTGAATGAGAAAAATGAAATAATACTAAGCATAATACAATATTCTAGATTTAATTATAATTAGGAAAAAGTTAGTTTTGAGAGTACTTTTCATAGGCATATAGAATGAAATCTTCTGAAAAATAATATCACATAAACTCATATTATTTTCTAATATATAACTATTTTATATAAAAATCAAATTCAATGATCTTAAAAGCGAAGGATAAACCTCAAAATTTACGAATATAATGAGTGGGAATATAATGCTTATCTATCATAAAACCATATGAAATATCAATTTTTGCTTTACGCCTAATTTTTGACGACAATTAGCAAAAAATGTTAAATGTTAACACTCAGTCCATTTGAATATGAAAAATAAAATTGACTTTGATTAAATGTTTTTATTTATCATGCAATTCTTCTTGCGACCAAAGATTTGAATAAAAGTTCAAAAAATAAGATAGCTTAAAAATAATATACGGTAGTGTTTACTAATAGATGAATAGTATATAAATTCTATTAAAATGGATTTGATCCAAAAAAATATAAAACCAAAAATAATTGTTATAATTTAAATGAAGAAGTAATTTAAAACGATTTTATTTATGATCAAATTTTATATATTTTTTTGGATCAAATCCATTTTAATAGAATTTATATACTATTCATCTATTAGTAAACACTACCGTATATTATTTTTTAAGCTATCTTATTTTTTGAACTTTTATTCAAATCTTTGGTCGCAAGAAGAATTGCATGATAAATAAAAACATTTAATCAAAGTCAATTTTATTTTTCATATTCAAATGGACTGAGTGTTAACATTTAACATTTTTTGCTAATTGTCGTCAAAAATTAGGCGTAAAGCAAAAATTGATATTTCATATGGTTTTATGATAGATAAGCATTATATTCCCACTCATTATATTCGTAAATTTTGAGGTTTATCCTTCGCTTTTAAGATCATTGAATTTGATTTTTATATAAAATAGTTATATATTAGAAAATAATATGAGTTTATGTGATATTATTTTTCAGAAGATTTTGTGTTCTTCTTCAAAATTTTATTTTTTTATTAAAAAGAATCTTTACAAAATATACATTTACTTTAATTAATATTTAAAAACGTGCTCTATCAAAAGTTCCAAAAATTCAATATTTTAGCTTTTCTGAGGTGTCACTTTTGATGAATTTCTGTTTACAACAATATAAGAATATTAAAAACATTAAGGGTATAGTCCACTAAAAATTTTTAAGTTTTGACAATGAAAATAAGCTCTGTGACCATGTAAATATATATCTATGCAAAACGAGAGGTTATGCCATAATTTTTTTTAGTTATCAAATTTTCCTTTTTTTGAGAGAAGTCTCTCAATAATTTGAGAAGAATCTTTGATATAAAGAGATACACATTTGTAGAACGAAGTAAGTGTTTTCCAAACATTTTATATGTTCATCCTGTATAACAATATAAAGCTGCATAGTGCCATCTTGTGCGTTTGCTATTTTATGTACTTTTCATTGAGATAATCCCTCTTCTCGGGTGATTTTAACAGTCAACTCAATTTTAAAATAAAGATTTCATCAAAATGATTTCGAAATTCGGATATTGATTATATAAATAGCACTGTTAACATATTTTGGATGAGTAAAAAATACCTTGTTTTGTATGCATTTAGTACACCTTTATTTTTGATTAAAACTATAAAATTTTTATTCCTTATATAATAAATAGTATATGTTACATAAACATGAAATTCAATAGCATTCAATTTTGGATTTTTTAGATTTGGTAAATTTTAGAAGAAATAAAATCAGCAATCAAAATAAAGAAACTTTTTTTGCATCTTCTATGATTACCTTTTGGTACTAAATTTTGCATTAATAAGTAAATTATCTGTATTATTCTGTGAGCACAAGCCCTCAGTTATGCTGGTAGTGAATGAGGAATCGTCATTTTGCGAAGAGAACGCGATTATTAAGGTAATTTTGAGAATTGTCTTGAATTATTTAAAATTAAAGTTAATTGAATAGGTAGGATAACTAGCCTTTGCTAAATTTGTATAATTTGACCTTATTCTAGTTGGATCTGAGAATATTTTGCTGAAATAATAAATTATATCGCCGATTTATGAAAATTTCTCTGATGGGACCGACTCGCTGAAATGTATTAGTGTTAATGGTAACTTGTCTGAATTTTCAAATTTTTTTCGAAATCCAAAAAATCACAAACAAAAGCATCAAAATTAGATTTGCATTTAAGGTTTTCATTTTTTATTGGAAAATAGAGATGCGAGTTTCCGAATTTTTGTAGCCCTGGGATGTCATAACCGCTGCGGTTTTGTAAAATTTGGGATAAATTTTGACAATCCATTTTTTGTGGGATGTACGTTTATATCAATTTGCTCGGCGTTTGCCGAGCTATTGTACAATCCTACTCGAATTCATTACGCAGCCCTGGTCACTCAAAGGCCAGGGCATACAATTACAAAATAGTAGAGTGAGACTCTTCTAATTTCTTCCAATCACAAGGAAGATCTTAGAAGAGCCTCACTCTGCTCGAACACATTACGCAGCCCTGGTCACTCAAAGGCCAGGGCATACAATTACAAAATAGTAGAGTGAGACTCTTCTAATTTCTTCCAATCACAAGGAAGATCTTAGAAGAGCCTCACTCTACTCGAACACATTACGCAGCCCTGGTCACTCAAAGGCCAGGGCATACAATTACAAAATAGTAGAGTGAGACTCTTCTAATTTCTTCCAATCACAAGGAAGATCTTAGAAGAGCCTCACTCTGCTCGAACACATTACGCAGCTCCTGCTCAACAATGAGCAGGTCTTACCACTTTGAGAGGCTTTCGCTCGAGTTCTGATGCAGATCCCAACGCGAGCGAGAGTCTCTCAAGCAAGCTTCTAATTCGTAGCTAGAGTTTCACTCTTATGAACTGGCAGCCAATTTGAGAGACTTTCGCTCGAGATCTAATGAAAATCAGAACTCGGCCAAAAATTGCCCAAACAGGCTTGTAATTCGTAGCTATAGTATTGATCGTATGGATATGTTGCCAATATGAGAGACTTTCGCTCGATGTCTGATATTGCATCAGACATCGAGCGAAAGTCACTCAAACAGCTTAGACATGTCTATTTTGACGGCATTAAATGATTTCATAGGAAATGTCTCAGTTGTTAATTAAGTTCACGTGAGCTTTTATGAATGAAAATAAGTAAAAAAAAAGAATTTTCTCAAAAAAAATTGTGTACGCATTGAAATTTTTATCTATAAATTTAGATATGTCATCAATAATATAATATAATTTTAAATTCGTGGAGTACACTTGGGATAATTGAATATGGGCTACCCCATCCCAACCTCTCAAACTTCCTCTGAATTTGGACAAGGTATCCCAATCCCAAGACCTATCTGAATAAAATGAAATAAGTATATTATATATATTATTTATTTGCTAATAATGAGCATAAATCGCTAAAATTATGAAGAAATTAAAAATTAAAAATTAAAATTAGAAAAAAATGTTGATTTAATGAGAGAATATTGTATAAAAATAGAATTATTAGCTAAAATACGTATTAATTTTATGATATTTCAATCACATTAACGAAAATCGCCCATTTTTAATTCAAATGGGCGGGAAAAAAAATAAAATTCCAAAAAAAATTGAATTGGGGAAACGATAGGGGACGGGATATGAGAAACCCCATATGTTTGGGAATTTTTCGCATCACTATTGGAAAATAAAAATATTTTTTCCCCAATAAAGTTTGTTTTTACTTTTGAGAGGAATAGAAACGTTATTTTGGAATTTTGAAAAGACAGAAATGTTCCATTTTTAATGTAGATTCTAAAATGGGGTCAAATTTTTGATTGAACCGTTATCCATTGAAAAACCTCGATTTTCAAATGTTATTCCAAAATATTCATCTAATGATATAGTATATATTTATTAATTATTACTTTTTATTCAATTTTCACTTTTGGCGGGATTTCATTTTTTTGTTGTTGTATGGGCCATATTGTTCACCCAAAACGGAAAACAAAGGCAATGCATAACATTTTACTCCACGAACGTCGTCGACTCTCAGCGCGACAGATGCTTGGTGCTTGCATAATGACCGGAATGCCATATACAAAAGGTGCTCGCTTTCTTTCTCTTTGTGGAACTAAGCCCCCTGTGAAGAGTGGTGTCATGAGACAACAGAGATTTTGTGACGATAAGATTAGAAGACTTAAAAGTATTTCCCTAATGCTGTCGAGAAAGTCCTTCAGTGGTTACTTATCCATTGATGCAAGATGGACGCACAGGCGAAACTCGCCAAGTTGTACAGTAACTGCGCTCGATGCTGTCACAAAAAGAGTTCTTGCATGCGTGAACATCAACCATATTGGTGGAAACACAGCATGCTCAGTATTCCGGAGCTTCCAACAATATGGAAAGTGCTGGAACTCGAATCATCTTGAAGCAATTAAAGAAATACAATATCTTGAAAGATGTTAAAGAGATTATTAAAGACCGAGATAACAAAAGTGTCTCTGTCTTTAAAGAATTTGGCGTCTCTCATCTTGAAAGATTCGATCCAGGTCATGTATCAAAAAATATCTCAAAAGATTTTACAAAGTTCTCAGCTTCTCATAAGACAGTTGAAGTTTTCAACGACAAGACTCAGAAGATTGAAAAAATAGAGAGACCTTTCTGGGGTCTGAATGCAAGCCTAAGTATGTGGCTTTGGTCATGTTTTGCCGAAGAAAATATTGACAAACGTACGAAAATGTGGGAGAATTGTGTCTACCATTACGTAGGCAATCATTCTTTTTGCGAACCGCACAATTACAAATGCTTTGAATGGCAAAAAGGTGTCAATTCGATCCAACTTCAATTCATGCTCTATGACTGGGTTCACATATGGACACCCATAGTTTCCAAAGTTTCTTCCATTGGATCTACCTGCATGAATGAAGCGTTTAACTCCAAAATTGCATGCTATTTGGACAAATCAAGAGCCTGGAAGAACATTAACATTAGAGTTAACGTTGCAATCTTAGAATGGAATGATCCAGAGCATTTTCTCGGAGATATACAAAAAGCATTACATCTTCCCCCACTTCCAGAAGATTGTGTCAAATCATTTGAAGAGAATTGTTACTCCAAAATGATATTGAAACAAAAAACTGTTACAAAAGGTTCTAAAAAACAGAACAAATACAAAAAATCCATTCAGAGTGTACCAGGAGGAGATTATCAAGTTTTCAAGTCCGAATGGGAATCAGAAGACGAAGACATTGATGACTTTGATTAACGAAAATTACATTTTATTTATTGTTTTTGTTTTTAATTAAATTATTATTATGCTCATTTTCTTATTTTGATTTTTTCTCATTATGATATAAATAATTTATTAATGCATTTATCCAATAATTATGCTATGATATTTTTATGCCTTATTTCATTTCTCTTATATTTGATAATCTGGTAAAATATAGTTCAGACTATAATCATTTTAGATTATTGATATATTTATATAGGTTAGAATAAAATTAGTTTCATTTTCTACTTTTATTTTGAATTAATAATTTATAATATCAAATATTATGGCGTAACCTCTCCTTTAAAATATAGATATATATAGGCCTATAGAGTTTATTGGCACTCTCAAAACTCTAGAATTTTGAGTTTACTATACCCTTAATATAATTTCGATTTCGGAAATTAAATTTCCAAATTTTTTGTCGATTTCGGAAATAACAGGATCCCGCATCCAACACGCAACAACAAAACACAAAACACACTTTTTGGTTCTTTCATCGTTTTAATCGTAATTTATGTAATACATAATTTGGATAAATTTTACAAAAATAGAACCTATATTATATTCTTTTCAAAGATTCTTGCAAATCATCAAAAATAATTGTATTTTAAAAAACGATCAAATTATCCTTTCATTATTTTAAACTTAAATCAGTTTTTATGATTGACTAAAGCAATCATATTTATTCATCATTAAATAAACAAAAAAATAATATTTGAGAGTTATTTCAAAAAAACACATTGAATTTATTAATTTGTCTCAATTTCAGTATTATAAATTTTTATAATTTCAATATTTTGAAATACACTTTTTAATATTTCAATATTTATGATATTTCAATGTATTAAGTGGTCTCAAATTGAGCTTCTCAAATATAAGTTGGCCTATTCAAATAATAAAATTAAATAATATTTAAAATAATAAATAAAAGTGATTGAGGTCATAGCAAAACGGCTGTTTCAGTCATTAATTCTTAAAAATAAAAAGGGTAAAAACTAAATAAAATGGGTAAAATTCAATAGTGTCTGTGTTATCGTTCAATTTGAAGGTGTCTTTTGAAACCGCAAGACACATTGAATTTTTGAATAGTGTATTATGGTTTGACAGACACCAATGAAAAAAATAAAATGATATTTATTTTAAATATCTAAGATCCTTATATAAAATATAAATATTTTATCGTTTTATTTTCTTGTTTTAGAAATGTTTTTTATTGAAAAATCAATAAAACTAACTCCAAAATAAAATTTTTGATTTAAAGACACTATGATGACACCAGGCAAATCTTCCAAGACACCTATCGTCGGGAATTTGACCTTATTGCTGCATAATGAAGAACAGTTCTTCCTTCATCATCTTTTTCATTGAAATTTGCACCACGTGAGATTAGGAGTTTTGTTGTTTCTTTACTATCATAATATACTGCAAGATGAAGAGCAGTTTTTCCTTTCTCAGCTTTTTCATTGATATTTGCACCATGAGATATAAGAATTTTGGCTGTTTCTTGACTATTTTTAATTGCTGCATAATGAAGAGCAGTTCTTCCTTCATCATCTTTTTCATTGATATTTGCACCATGAGATATAAGAATTTTGGCTGTTTCTTGACTATTATTAATTGCTGCATAATGAAGAGCAGTTTTTCCTTTCTCAGCTTTTTCATTGATATTTGCACCATGAGATATAAGAAATTTGGCTGTTTCTTGACTATTATTAATTGCTGCATAATGAAGAGCAGTTATTCCTTCCTCAGCTTTTTTCTCGATAGTTTCACTATGTAAGTTATTATTATTATTAGCTTCAAAAACAAAAAGAGCTGTTCTTACATTTATGTTTGCACCATTTGAGAGGAAAATTTCCCACAGGAATGGAATATTAAACATCGTTGAAAAAGCAAAACATTCGTTAATATCATTAGTTTGAACATAATAAACAAAAAATGATTCAAGATTATTATATTTTCCACAACAATATAAATTAATATGTAAATTGTGCTCGTGCATCAAGAATGAAACCAAATTAATGTTATGTGAAATAATAGCATATTCCATGCATTTATCATCTGGTTTTTTATTTTTTAAACATTCACTCATGATCTCTATGCTTCTTCCTAAAAATGAAAATTGAAGACAAGTTTGAGTTATTTCTTTGTCAAATTCTGTTCTTAAAAACTTGAAACAATCAACTGCCCCATGGTAACAGCATAATTCAAGTAACGAATATCCATTTACATCAAATGGATATAAATCACTAACAAGTGTTTGATATTCATCAAAATCATCTCTTACCGTAAATGAGATAAATGTTTCTAAGTCATTATTCATAATTGCTCTGTAAATTGTATTTTTTGTATGAATATCGAGATTTTCTGATTTAATTGTTTCGAAATCATCAGATTTGCCTAATTTAATCCCATATTCTTCATAAAACAGGTAGTCCGAAATTAGTCTAGCATTGTCGACCTTCTTGACATTATATTTATCAGATATAAGTTTGGCAAGAGATAAGTATGACTTTGTATAGCGATTATTATACGGAATGATATTCAAAATATCTACAAGTATTTTTTTGGGAGGATATTTCTTTAAATCAATCAATTCTGTGATCATTTTGTAAATCTTGTCCAATTCTTCTTCGTTTTCCGTTTTCAACTGATACAATGCAATGAATAAATCTATGTAGTGTTTGTAGTCATTTCGCAATTCACTGTAATCAATTAGGTAAATATCTTGCTCAGACATTAGAAAATTTAAAAAATAAAAACTCCATCAGACATGGAAAAAATTTTATGGACCCACTCAGAAAAATTGAGAGGCAAAATGAGATTCATCGTTTTATACTCATCTGATTGATATTATTCAATTATATCCGGTATATTCATATTTTTATATGGCACTTTGGCTCACTATTATTTCAAATTAAGTAAAATTACTGAAATCTCCGATGGAAAATTCTATAAAAAGCTAATAAATAGGCATGCATCCGCAATTTTATGTATTTTCCAATGCGTATAATTGTGGTGAACGAGACTGAGATTTAACTAACAATCGTGTATTGAAAAAGTTTGATATATTAATAATTAAACATATATTATGTTACCACATCCCGTTTATAGATAAAGCTTTATATCTATCTAAGATCAATGAACAGCTTCCAACTAAGTGTACGTGTTGAAGATATAAATTGGAGTTTAAGAAGGCCATGCTTGCTTTTCTGGAATGTTGATCACTAATTCTCTGGTCAAATATGTATTAAGATTAGTATATTTGTAAATGAATTCAATATCTCTAACAAAATTAAAATGGGACTAAAAAGAATACGTTTTAAGTACTAAAAAGTCTATTTATAAACAATATTATAAGAATAAGTATTAGCAAATTCCCGTACAAACAAAAATTTGTAAAAAAAAATTGAAAAATTTGGAAAATAGAATTACAATTCATATTTGACGTCACCAGTAATGTGAATACGGTCATCTGGAGTTGGATTCTTGATCTTTGTTGCCTCTTTATAAAGCTCGGCCACATTATCTACTAATTTTTGTAATTCGTACCATTTCAAAGCAGGATCATCCATTGGACCGAGTCTTTTCTGTATGTCCTGTTTTTCTTTCAGCCATATTTTTGTTTCTGCCATCATTCTTAGGACATTTCGGATATCAGCTCTCATTACGTGTTTCATTCATTTGTTTTGAGGGATATTACGTATACCTTGTTCAATTGATTCAAATACTTGATTCATATAATCAATTGTCGAATTAACTTTTGTAAAATACTGAATTCTTGACATAACAGCTCCAACAGCGTCCAAAAGTAAATTTTTACGCTGTCGTAAAGTATCCAACATGAAACTCTTTTGTTTCAAGAACCATCTGTCAGTTGTATTGACAGCAACAATGATTCTTTTTAATTCTTCCTGGGAACAGACCAAATTGATGTATTCCAACTGTCGTGTCATTGATTTTAGGTCTAATATGATGCCTTCAAGGCTATTCGCTTCTTCAGAAATCATTCTTTGGTCAAATTCGTATTTATCTAAAAGTTTCAACTGTTCAATGAACTTTATCTCCCAAATATCATATACTCTCTTCGAGTTCTGCTTGATTCTGTACAATCCATCCTTAGTTTGCTTGAAAATTGTTGTATTATGCACAGTTCCCCACGCAGCGACGCCGGAAGAGCCTGCAGGGTATCTGGGGCCAACTTCCATTAGATATGTTTGTGTCCCTGTCACGTTTGGAGTTGTTCGTCTTTGTAATGCGTCGTAATACTGGAAATTGTAGAGTTGGTATGGATTGTAATGGATTGTGTTGATGGTCTTGAACTCAGAGCTTTGTACGGCACCGTATAATGCTGCTCCATATGATATTGACTCTTCAGGATTCATTGAAACACTTAATTCTTTTTGTTTGAGGGCTTTCTTGATTACTTCTTGGATACAAAGCACGCGCGATGATCCTCCTATTAATTGGACTCTATCTACATGAGGAACATTCGAAAGAAGTGAATATAATTCTTCAAGAATATTTTTTACAGAATTTTCAAATTCTGATCGAGAAATGTTGTAGTAGAATGTCTCAGAACCATCAACTTGACCGACTGCATTGACATTTGTTGTCAATCTGTGCTTAATTCGGTTTGCTTCTGCTATTAACAGTTGTTTGTCTGTTTTGGTTGGTGGATATGATATCTTACTCTTCATTAGTTTGTATATTGCAATATCTAGTAGTCTTCCACCTATATTTTGCGAATAATTATAAAAAATTTCGCTAATTGTAATATTACGCTTTCCTGAAAACTGGGATACAGTCACTTGTGTATTTAGATCACCAATATCGACAAATGCAACTGTTAATGGCTTTTCTAGTTTGGAAAATTTTTTATCATGAGTAAAAGCGAAATCATAGCCTAAGGCTGTACTCGAATCAATAATTCTTGAAGTATAATTAGCAAGTTTGGCTGCTATTCTAACTGATTTTCTTTCTTGTTGCATCATAAATTTTGGAACAGCGATATAAGCTGTTTTTGCGACCAATGGTGGTTCGAGGGCTCTGGCTGTTGAGTTGATGATGTTAAATGTTCTGTAAAGTAAGTATTCTGGATAAATTCCATTAGTTGTAAATCTAAAATTTGAAGTTGGAACAAATTCTGATTCAATCTTTCGTTGTTTTGCGATGTCTTTCATTTCGTCTGTCAATATTTTGCCTACGAAATCATTATAATATCGAGTTGTATGTTGAGGAAATTTTTTCTCCATTTGTTGATTATCGAAATAATATGCATTGTTTCCGAAGTTGTAAGCATCAATGAGCTTTATAGGACCTTTCTCATTAGGAACCACTGTAAATGTCGATCTGAAATATCGATTTGAGCTGTTATCAAGCAAAATTGACATCTGAGTAGGAGATCTTAATGCAGCTACTCGAATCTTTTCACTTCCAAGGTCCATCCCTAAAACGACAGAAAGTGAGAACGCTAAAAGGCAAAAAATCATTTTTTCAAAACTGGCAAACGATAATTTTTAATTCAATTTTTCAAAAGATGTGGGTGAAATAAAGTTTGTGATTGTTATGTTTATTACAAAAATTTACTAAAATAATTTTGATAAGTGTAAGGCATCTAAATTTTTTCGGGTCGGCGATAAATTTGCCCAGCCAGTCAAGTATTCAATTTTTTTTTTGCTTTTTTTTTAAAGCTTCTTAACTTAAATCATGGAATGTCTCAAAGACAAAAGTAGCATACAGCATGCAAAGCTAAAGAAAGATAATCATAATTAATACCTTAATTTTTAATATTACGCATTTTTAGGTGCAAAATTTAAAAACATTCTAATACAATAGAGCAGTTTCCAAAAGTAGCATACAGCATGTAAAGCTAAAGAAAGATAATCATAATTAATACCTTAATTTTTAATATTACGCATTTTTAGGTGCAAAATTTAAAAACATTCTAATACAATAGAGCAGTTTCCAAAAGTAGCATACAGCATGCAAAGCTAAAGAAATATAATCATAATTAATACCTTAATTTTTAATATTACGCATTTTTAGGTGCAAAATTTAAAAACATTCTAATACAATAGAGCAGTTTCCAAAAGTAGCATACAGCATGTAAAGCTAAAGAAATATAATCATAATTAATACCTTTAAAGTTTAAAATCTTGATTTTTTTAAAATCAAATATTTATAACTTTAATACATACAGCTTAAACCTTATACTTGTTTTCTCTTGTGAGAAAGCAATCTTACAAAGCTAACAATCCTAAAAAATAAAGAATTAAAATTTAATAATTTAATCTAACAAAATTTCTCTCTTTATCCTTTTGCACTCTTTATATGCAACTCAAATCCATCATATAATATTCCTATAATACTCTTGCCTCAAACAATGACGGACAAACTGCTATTTTCATTTAATTACAGACCAAATATATTCAAATTTCTGAATTTTTAATTTTCATTTCAATTTCAAATGGAATTAGAAGAAGAAACTATCTTTACTGTTATGGATCTTTGTAAATGTGGAGTTAAACAAGAAATACAAGCACAGTATGGATATGGTGAACGTGTCAGGAAAGAAAGATCTCAGATTTCATTCCACTGCAAATATCCAAAATGTCCTGCACATTTTAATGTTGCAATCTTGGATCAAAATAAATACAAACTAATCAAAATAGTTGAAGAACATGATCATTCCGCCCCAAATGACAAAAGTCAATATTCGTCTGTCTTTTATCGCAAATATTTAGAACATTACTTCCAAACAGATGACAATCAAAGAGCGATAGCACAGCTAAATGCATTCAAAGATCTTGAAATTCCTCTTACAGGTCCGTCCATTCCAGAGATGTACGCTCAAAAACCACGTGCAATCAAACGATTTGCAGAGAGAATACATGCTCTTCAAACTAGATATTCTCCTGACGATGTTGTGTCATTGCAAATCTTTGTTCAGACAGTACAAGAAGAATCTCCAGATGATCTCATTGCATTTGAAGTCTCAGACAATAATATGTGTTTCTATTACGCGCCTTTTGAAGGCAAAGCTTATGCGCATAGTATCAAGACATTTCATATAGACAGCACCTATAAATTGTTGCGATCAAACATTCCATTGTATGCATTTACTGGCAAAATCAAAGATTTTCACATTTTCCCTTTTTTATATTTCTTTTGTCAACCAGACACTTATCAAAACATTCAAGTTTGCGTGTGCGCCTATCTCAGATGGGTAACAATTGAGCCAGAATACATTAGCATGGACTGTGCTCCACAGATAGCTCAAGCAATAGAAGAAAGCATTCCACAAGCTCAAATACTTTGGTGCGGAGTACATGTTCTTCGTGCAATTCTTCGCAAATCAAATAAGTTTTCTTCTCAAGAAAAATTTGAACAATTCTATAATTTGATGAAGGATTTAGTCTTCAAATTAGATGCAGAACATGAGGAAGAAGCAAATGCTGCCTATGATCAAGTTCTGGAGTTGCTCGACACAGATCCAACAGCATCTCAATACTTTAACAGACAATGGCGTTACAACATATCAAGATGGATTGCTCGTGACAGGCGTGAAGGCGACGCAACTAACAATATTGCCGAAGCTCATTTTAGAACACTCAAACATGACTATTTTCCTGATCGAAAAAATCTCAGAATTGATGATGTTATTATAGAAATTTATACAAAAGTGATACCATCTTTCGTTATCAAACTCAAAATTGATCAAAATCCAGCAGATGACCGTGTCATTAGGATCATGGAAAAAGCAACTAACGCAGAAATTGATGTAAAAAGACAAAGAAAAATCGAGAGTATTTCAATGCTCAATAGATTGCTCAATGCTGTTAGTGATGACTCAATAGATCCCACTAAAATATATCCTACCTTGAAAGTATTATTACAAAGAACTCATTTTATTTAATTTTGATTTTAATTTTAGATTAAATGATTAAATTTTAATTCTTTATTTTTTAGGATTGTTAGCTTTGTAAGATTGCTTTCGCACAAGAGAAAACAAGTATAAGGTTTAAGCTGTATGTATTAAAGTTATAAATATTTGATTTAAAAAAAATCAAGATTTTAAACTTTAAAGGTATTAATTATGATTATTTTTCTTTAGCTTTGCATGCTGTATGCTACTTTTGGAAACTGCTCTATTGTATTAGAATGTTTTTAAATTTTGCACCTAAAAATGCGTAATATTAAAAATTAAGGTATTAATTATGATTATTTTTCTTTAGCTTTACATGCTGTATGCTACTTTTGGAAACTGCTCTATTGTATTAGAATGTTTTTAAATTTTGCACCTAAAAATGCGTAATATTAAAAATTAAGGTATTAATTATGATTATCTTTCTTTAGCTTTGCATGCTGTATGCTACTTTTGTCTTTGAGACATTCCATGATTTAAGTTAAGAAGCTTTAAAAAAAAAGCAAAAAAATGTAATAAAATAAAAAAAAATTTAGTATCGATAATCTGAAATATGTTGTTTACTTAAGCCGCGAGCGAAGCGAGCGGCTTAGTTTCGTAGTTTCGTAAAATCTTTTTTAGAATCTGTTCTTTTCGTCAGCCGCGAGCGAAGCGAGTGGCTTTTTATTTTTTAAAATTTTTTTTCTTTCTTACTTTTTTCCCTTACTTACAAATTTGATAGTAACTTACCAAATCTCTCTATCATATAATAATAAATTAATCCATTTTTTGTTTCAAATCTGACACTTTACATTTCTGACATGTAAACTAGTCACTTTTCACTTCACCTCACTGGGCAAGTTTGTGCCCCCCCTCGTTTAGTTCAGTAATTAATAATAAAAATTGTGAAAATAGTGACTATTTAACTAAAAATATATTAAATGATGTAATAATGAGATATACATATATTTTTACGAATTATAATTAGAAATTATTCTGGTCTGGGAATCCCAACCCAAAATCATTGAAAATTTGAATATATGGGATGGGCTACCCATCCCAAAACTATATTGAATTTTTTGAATTGATAATAAATGTATCTATATCTAAGGTATATTAGAGAATTTTTAAAAATTATGCATTAAAAAATTGAATTTATTCAAAACAAATTGAGAATAAAAATGCTTAAGTAATCACTTCATTATTTCAACAATGATTGATGCAGTACTGACGTACTATAAAGACATTGAGGTCGGTACTAAGCATCAGTATCTTAGATATAAAAAACCAGGCGACAAGTACGGAAAATATTATGTTAAATGCAATGAACTAGTAAAGCGTCCTGACGGAACTATATGCCACTGTGCAATGGAAGAAATGCGTGAGGATCATTTCAAAAAATGGATCCAAAACAAACGGCACATATGCACACCAGGAGAAGTAGCATCACAACAAACAATCGATCAATACTATCAAAACGTCCCAGCAACAGGGCTTACACCTATATCGTTAGGGGATATCTATGAACAGCTTGCTACATTTACTGGAAGATTTAACTTGGCTCTGAATACCTTCTCAAGCCCAGAGTTTACAAAGCTAGTTAAAACCATTATAATGTATACTGCAGACTCGATGATATTGAAGTTCCCACAGTTACACAATGTTAACATCAATGTTGATAAACTAGCTTCTCAAATATACCAGCCTATTTCAACTGACAAACTAAGGCAAACAATGATACAAATTGCAAATTCAATCCATGTTGCAAAAGTTGATGAGTTTGCTAAGCTTGCCTGTACCTGTGTTGCCATTGATGAGGGGAAGACTCAGCAGTTTCACAATCTGGACTTCTCCCTCACAAATCCTCTGCAAAGCAAGCGGCCCTATCCTGTTGAGTCAATCCAAATGAATGGTGGAACATCTGAAGATTATATCCACTCGCTTACTCAAGGATTTAACAGAATCTTCATTAGAGATGTTAAGATCAGCAGTGTAGTTTGCGATGGCAATAAAGCGCAATTGAAATGTTTTCAGAAAGGATGGAATCAATCGTTCTACAACTCAAATGACCCAAGGTTATTCAAAATCTTGTTTATCCCGTGTTTATGCCACAGGATTCATAATTGTTATCAATATATGACAACAAAAGACGTAGCATTAGGAGCAATTGTGAAACATATCCACGAAATATCAGCTCTTTGTAGAATCCATGTTGAAGACATCGGAGCTCTCTGTCCAAAGCATGTATCCACCAGGTGGATCTATGATTATAATATTTGTATGTTTATTATCAAGTATCAAGACAAAATTTCAAGATATACGCGTATTGATATTGAAAACATCAAGTTCTTAAGAGACTGCTTGGCAATTCTCAAGAAGCTTATTTCCACGTTCGAATCAGATAAAACCAAGATATCTGATTGCTACGTATGGCTTTGCAAGGGTATTGAAGCACTCCAATACCTTTCCAGCAGCAACAACAATCCTTTTGCTGGAATCCTTTCAAGATCGTTGTTGAACTATACCCTTGGATCGGACTTTGGAGGTCTTTGGTGCTTAGCCTTCGCTTTTACACCGAAAGGTAGGTATTATTTCAACCAAAAATTCGTCCACGGAGCGCAGATCAACGAATCTCCGGCAATTAATTCATTTGATATTACAAACGTAACTTTCGTTAATCCAGTAGAAGACATTCAATCTATCTATATGGACTCTATCTTTGAAGAAGGTTCGACTGAAGTTTCTCTTGATATGGTTGAGGAGGGATCAATTCGTCAGGTAACTGCTACAATTGACCCTCCTATGCTTGATCTCGCAGATGTAACATCTAGTTCAAATCAGCCGGTTAACCATTTTGTTGCAGCTAGGCAGTATCTCAAAAGTATTTTGGAACAATTTCGTATTCCGGGTCAAACAATAACAGATATTATTACACTATTTAACACGTATATTAATAGTGATAATGATATCTTCTCTGATGATATGATTCAAGAACGTCAAGAATACGGTTGGGAAGAAATCTCTCATAGAGATGGCAATGTATCAATCTTTGCAGATATCGCCCTTCGTGTTATCTCCGCTTCACCTTCAGAAGCAACATATGAGAGAACAATAAAAGACCAAAGATTGATACTAAATTTGAAAAGATTACGTTCTCACAAAATTTTATTAGATAGCCGAGAAATTTTAATGGCTACAAAATAAATATCTATATTTATTATTAAAAATTGTTTTATATTTAAAAAAAAAAAAAAAAAAAAAAAAAAAAGGTAGTGGGGCTTCCAGGCACTTCGTGCCCTCTAGCCCCCCGTCACTTTTCTGTCACTTTTCAGGAAAAAACATTTTTATTATATATATAAAATGAATTTTACAAAACCACCGTTACCCTTCTTTGGAAATAAGAGTAGATGTAAAGATATTCTATTGAGAGAACTTAAGAAACTACCGAATGGTCTAACATTTGTAGACTTGTTCGGTGGAAGTTTCTATATATCTCATTTGTGCCATACAATATTTCCTGACTCAAAGATTATATGCAATGACTTCGACAACTATATGAACCGTCTCAAACATATACCAGACACAAACAAAATATTGAAAGAGTTAAAAGAAAAGATACCTATAGGTAAGATGGAACGTATACCATTAGATAAGAAAAATACTGTCAGAGAGGTTTTGAAAAGGCAGAGTATATTGACTGGGATAGTATATCTGCTAGACTATTATATAGTGGTGCTATAAGAGTTCATGACATTGAAACACTTATGTCAAAAGTTTTATATCTTAACTATACAAATGTTTTCAAAGAGAACATAGAAAAATATATTGAGGGTATAGAGTTTGTGAGATGTCATTGGACAGAGTTGTATGAAAAATATAAAGACAAGGAAAATGTTTTCTTTATAGTGGACCCGCCGTTCTATAACACATGGGATTTTCAATACCAAGTAGACTGGACTTTGAGAGACTCTTTAGAAACTTTAGACGTTTTACATAACCATCCATGCTTTTACTTTACATCCGATAAAAGTGGTTTGGAAAGTGTCATGAGATGGTTAGAGGACATACATGACTATGAGTTTAGATACGATAAGATAGAATATGAGAGAGGTCCTATAAACTGGAGAAAGTGTCATAACAAAGAAATTTTACTAGTAAGTAAATGTGGTTTGAAATAGGACTACTTGTTTTAGGTTTTTTCCATTGTGTCATTTACTTATTTGACGTGGCAGAAAGATATAGAGAATATGAAGATGAACCAATGCCTGCAAATGTTCAGCATATGTACTCGTAAGAGATATTTTTATCTAATATTAAATGGACGCACAGAACTTAGCGAATGCACAGCAACCTGGACAACCAAACCCAGAGAATATTCCAAATGAAGTTAGAATACAAACTGCAATGGCAAACTATGGTCAAGTGCCAACAGATGTACAAATGCAAACTGCCATGTCAAATGACGCTGCGTTAGGCTTACCACCATGGTATGCAAATATGAGATGGAAAGAGTTTTATACAAACCCCGAAGTGGGATATAAACAACTCTATGCAGATGACGCGAACACAGGAGTTGACCCAGAGTATGTTTTCTACCAGAGGAGAAATAGAATGTATGAGCTCCAGTTAAAGAATGCTATGGAACTCAGAAGGAAACGTAAGAGACTAGGTGGACATTAGATTTTTACATATAGTAAAATGGGTTTCTTCAGTAAGATAGGAAAAAATGTTGGAAGAGGTATATGGAATGGAATAAAAACCGTAGG